TCACATACATATTTGCCACGTATGCAACTGATTTTTATGTGTATTACACGTCTAAAAGGTACTCGATGACAAGACTGATCCCAGTCTTCTGCGAGCTTCCTATAACTACAAACAATTAATTATTTTCTTAATTCTTATACAAATCTTGTTTTTATCATACTTTTATATATATGTACATATATATATATATATATATATATATATATATATATATATATATATTTTATTCTGATTGAAAGAATATAAAAGGTTTATTTCTTGGATAATTTTTACGTTCACGTTATTCTATTGTGAACTTTGTATTTATTTTTATCAAGTCTCAAAGTTGAATGTAACAATATTTTAGATTTATCTCTTATTTATTTTGGACTTTATGTTTACGATATTTATATTTGTATATCTTTATTCGCCAATCGATGATTGGTCAATTGTAAATACTTCGTAGTTGTGAAATAAACATGTTTAAAAAAAAAAAAAAAAAAAAAAGTTAGGGCAGCAACCGTTCTTATTATATGCTGTTTATTTCTTCTTTTTCCGAGAAAACCGTGCGGAATTTGGTAAGCAAAACACGTTACCAAAATGATACGACTATACGATTTAGTAGAGTCTACTATAGTGTTTATACTCTATAAGAGACCACTACATCGTATATTCACAACTTTTAGGTAACCTTAGTTGCTTACCTAATTGCACACGGCTTTTTACACATTACTATTAGTACAGATATTTATAGATATTTTGTACATATTACATACAGATATTTATAGATATTTTGTACATATATACAGATGTTTATAGATATTTTGTAGGTTAATATATATTAAATAATATCTCTTGATTCAGGCTAAGAAAGGTTACACTCTCGAATCTCAAACCGATATAGAAGTTATTGCTAAATTAATAAAATACTTATTTGATCGTGATCAAGAATCACATACATCTATAAAGCTTAGCTTTCCTGAACTTGTAGAAAGGACTGTACGCCAACTGGTATTTGTTTTGTTTTTTGTTAATTCAAACTGATAGTATTGTTATTTTATAGACCTTAGTACAAATGTTTTGAAAAGTTATTGTTGTTATTTTAATAATGACCTGAATTAACAAATGTAGGAAGGAGCATATGCTCTTGTCTTTAAAAGCAGCAATTTCCCAAACCAATGCATTGCAACTCGTCGTGGAAGCCCACTTCTTATTGGTGTGAAAAGTGATAAACCCATAAACGTTGATCAAATTCCTTTTTTGTCAACACAACAATTAAATAGTGAAAAGGCTAATTCTGAGCAACAGTGTAATGGTGAGTAAAATAATTGAATCTAATATAGTATGTAGAGTTTAGTCTATTGTATTTATTGATATAGTTTCTGAAGAAATATCTTACAAATCAAAACTATTTAGGTTCTGTTGGTGACAACACCTTATATAACTCTTACCCAGAGGGTGAGCACTTTTTTGTTGTGAAAATGCAGGAATGGAGTATTTTTTTGCATCAGACGCAAGGTATAAATAATATTATAAATAAGTATATAAATATATATATATATATATATATATATATATATATATATATATATATATATATATATATATATATATTTATATATATGTGTATATATATATATATATATATATATATATATATATATATATATTTATATATATGTGTATATATATATATATATATATATCTATATATATATATATATATATATATATTATATATATATATATATATATATATATATATATATATATATATATATATATATATGTATATATATATATATATATATATATATATATATATATATATATATATATATATATATATATATATATATATATATATATATATATATATAGATATAGAGATATAGGTATAGATATAGATATAGATATAGATATAGATATATATATATATATATATATATATATATATATATATATATATATATATATATATATATATATATATATATATATATATATATATATATATATATATGTATATATATAGATATATATATATATATATATATATATTTTTGTTGATACTATTATTAGCTCAAGTATAAGCAATGTATTCTTTTTTAATTGTTCTCATTTATTCTAGTGCAATAATAGAACATACATAAAGAGTTATTTGTTTGGAAGATGAAGATTTGGCTTGGGTCAAGGATGGAAGTATTGGATTTCTCTATTTTTTTGCAAAAAAATATTTTAGTTTTTCAATTTGAAAGTTGCTTAAATTAGTTGGTTGAGTTAATTAAGGGACTTTTTTTGATTCATTTAAGTTCATTAAAGGAATTTGAAATCTTAGTAAAGATCTTGGAGCATGCAACCTTATCCTTACCTAATTTTGGAGCCTAATTTTCTTTATTTCTTAAAATTTTTTTTTTTGAAAAAATTTCTTGTTTGATTTTTAATATTATCTGCTTTAATTTCGACAACTTGTCAATGTGTTTAGATAACATTTAATTTTTTTTAGGTAGTTATTCATCTTTTATGCAAAAGGAAATAATGGAACAACTAGAAAGTGTTTACAACACAATGAGAGGAAGAGTAAACTTCCAAAATAACACTGTTTTACTTGGTGGATTGGTATCACACATTGATTACATTAAAAGATGCAGACGACTCATATTCATTGCATGTGGAACAAGTTATCATAGTGCTGTTGCTGTATGACCTTTTTTCTTTTAATTATAATTTTTTAATTGAGTTATAATTGTTATGTTCATTTTTATATAGTAAAAAATGACCACATTTTTAAACTTTGTAATTTTTTAGACTCGTCAGTTGATGGAGGAGTTAACAGAACTTCCAGTTATGGTTGAGCTAGCTAACGATTTCTTAGATCAAAATACTCCAATATTTCGCGACGATGTCTGCTTTTTCATAAGTCAGTCAGGTAAATATTAAAAAAACTGTGTCATATACTTTTAGTCATATACAAAAAAAGTATATGGTCGTATGAATTTTAAATACAGTAGAATCTGCCTAACTCAAACCTGGTATTAGTCTGGTATTTACTAAGATGGACAGATTTTCATTAACTTAAATTTTGTCTGTTACCTTCTATTACACACTAGTTAAGATAGACCATCTGTTAGTATTTACGATTTTTTTTTTCATTCAAAATATTTATGTAATAATAATAACTTGCTTCAAAATTAAGAGTTCAATGGTCAGATACCAGTTCTGACCTTATTTATGAGGTTCAATGCCAGCTCTATCTAGTTAAAAAGAAAGTATGAACCTCCTAATTAATTGCCCTTTTGTGGTGCTCTGTGACAATATTATTAGGTCTTTTTGGATTTATTCAAAGTATGTTAGATGTGGTTTTTAAATGGTTGAAGTCAAACATTCTTGTGTTTAAAACCAGTTTTATAGTCAAAGCTTTGTATTTTGCTAAAGAATTTGATGTAACAATTTTAAAGGTGTATTGATTGTTGGAAAAAAAGAACAAATCAGAGCCATAAAAAGTGGATATTTACTTACAAAGAACAGTTGACAATGATGTTTTATTTACTTAAAGGTGACAAAACCAACAACTGATGAACTTTTCAAGAAAATTGATATTGTTGTCAGTTTCTTGATGTTTATATAGAGAAAGTTTTGCAAGTCAATAAAACAAAAATCAATATGAAACTTTTTCTCTATATAACATGTATTAATTCTTACTATACTCTATTTAACATCAGATTTTGTAGTTCTATACTATATTGTATTATATATTGAAAAAATTTTGAAAGTCTCAAAATCTTAATAACCTGATGCTTTCCAAACGTTCAACATACCAAGAACTTTGTTTAGTTTGGGCATTTTCTATGTTGGACAATATATCTATTATCTCTGAGGCTCCACTTAACTGAATTCTACTGTTGTATTAAAATTCTTAAATAGTAATAATAAATGTAATTTAATAATTTTGTTGTTGTTACTTGTTCTTGTTAGGTAAAACTGCAGATACACTTATGGCACTTCATTATTGTAAAAGTCGTGGTGCATTAGTTGTTGGTATAACCAATACAGTTGGAAGTAGCATATCACGTGAAACCATGTTTGGTGTCCACGTCAATGCTGGTCCAGAGATAGGAGTTGCAAGCACTAAAGCTTATACTAGTCAATTTTTGACACTTGTATTGTTTGCTGTGATGATGGCTGAAGACAGAAAATCAAAACAGGACTGTTGTAAAGAAATAATTCAAGCTTTAAAAGTTTTTCCAGGTACTTTTACAGCAGTTTTATTTAAAATTCATTATGATTACAACAGAATTTAAAACGTGTTTACTATTGTTTAGAATATATTTCGGAAGTACTCAAACTTAATGATAAAATTGAAGAAATTGCTAAGACCCTACAGCATGAACAAAGTTTACTAATCATGGCTAGAGGCTTTCAATTTGCCACATGTTTGGAAGGAGCATTGGTAGGATCAACTTTTAAAGATTCTTTGTTTTTTTTTATTTATTATTCTTTGTCTTTTATTTTATGTATTATATATATATATATATATATATATATATATATATATATATATATATATATATATATATATATATATATATATATATATATATGTATATATATATATATATATATATATATATATATATATATATATATATATATATATATATATATATATATATATATATATATATATATATATATATATATATATATATATATATATATATATATATATATATATATATATATATATACATGTAAATGTATATATATATACATGTAAATGTATATATATATATGTAAATGTATATATATATATATATATATATATATATATATATATATATATATATATATATATATATATATATTTCTTATAGAAAGTTAAAGAATGTACATATATGCATTCCGAAGGCATTCTTGCCGGGGAATTAAAACATGGTCCGTTAGCTCTTGTTGATAAAGATATGCCTGTGATTATGATTGCTCTTAAAGACAAAACTCATGATGTAATTTTTTCTCTCTTGGTTTTAGTTTTTTGCAAAAAAACTTTTCTTTAATGTTTGACTATTATTTTGTGTTTAAGAAATGCATGAATGCCCTGCAACAAGTTCTTGCAAGGAAAGGGCGTCCATATATTATTTGCTCAAACAATGACAAGGAAACAAGTGTTCTGGGTTACAACAGTTTAGAAATACCGCAAATGCCTGATTGTTTGTCTGGTATTCTAACAGTTATCCCTTTGCAACTACTTTCATTTCATCTTGCCGTTTTGCGTGGTTATGACGTAAGTTTTTTTAATGTTTATATTTTGCTTTTTGGCTCAAATTATGTATTGTTTTTTTTTTTTTCTTCTTTGTAATTTTTCCCTCAGTTTTTGAATATTATATTAATTTTTAGGTTGATTGTCCACGTAATTTAGCAAAGTCTGTCACCGTGGAGTTAGGTTATCATCCAGATTTTTCTATAAGTAGGTTGGATCGGAAAGAATTAGGTTTTTATATAAAATGATGTTAGATCAACTTTTTAAATATTTCAATTGTAAAGTTTATTATTTTATATTATATGTGATCAAGTTTTACACAATTTTGAAACCTAACTTTAATAATTTTATATATTTTGCTTTTTTATATAATTTATAAATATAAAATAGAATCTGAATAGAATATCTGTTAAACCAATTTTTACGTATTAATTGCGCTTGTTTTAGCAACTTTGAAAAAATTAATAATACGAGCTGCAAATGTGAGACACATTGAATTCAAGTTAGGGTATATATAGGTCATATCCAAGTTATTTTTTTAATTAAACACTTAAACCTATAATGATATAGTTTTATAGTAAAAGCTTTTGCCATATTAAACTTCGCACTCATTAATTCTATCAAATTCATTTATATCAAATCTCACTCCCCTCGGTGAAGACATAAGATTAAAACATCGATACATATGTATATTGTGTACAACGACTTTCTTCACGTATTAGTAAATAATAGGAGTGTAGGGAAAACACAATATTAGAATCTAAAAAACTAAACTATCTAGATTTGAAGCAAATATGTTTCAATTAACTTCCAAAAAAATTTAAGAACCTTTGAATCATTCCCGGTGGGATATCGGCTAGCGAATATCTAGGTATAATCGTAACGATAAAGATAGCGATATGGCCACAAGGATCGCTAGCTTTTTTAAGTTGGTGAAAAGCTATCGATATTTGTAAAGATAAAGACAGCAATTTGGCTACAAGGACAGCTAGATTAATAAGCTTAAGACCCACTGGCTATAGTAGCTATTGTCATATCGTAATAAAATCACTGTCTTAAAAATTTTGATATGTAGCTATCAACTAGCTATAGATTTGTAGATATTGTGTAGTTAGCTACGATATGTAGCTAGCGACACATTGCTACAAAATCGCAATTTTTAAAGTTCAATTATTCTCATAATTATAATAGACTCAACACTAAAAATCGAATTTTTTAAGATGTTAAAAACATTAGTAAAAAATTACATAAGAAAAAAAAATTCGCTTAAAAATCGCTAGCAACTTTCAAGCGATTTTTATAGCTTTTCAAGCTTCATAGCGCGCTATTAAGCTAGCTAGTCGCTAGGTCTTTCCCACTGGGCCACTATGCGTCGCGAAGCGGAAATAGGATTTTACTTACTTTTCAGAAAAAAATTTTCTATTTTAGTATTTTAAATATTTTTTTAACTGAAACAAGTTAGTATTAGTTAATAAAAAGAAGTTTTTTTAAAATTTTTTTAAATTTGCCTTTTTAGGTGCGGGATTTTCAGGGGTAAAAAAACCCATGTTTTCACTAAATCTTTAAATTACGTAAGATAACTTTCAAATTTCTTCATTTTTTTTTGCACATTTTCTAATAAATGATACATTTTGTAAATTAAAAACCAAGAAAAGAAAAAAAAAAGTTTCGATCATTGTTTTTGGGTGTCTGTAAAGATTGATCGATTAGACCATGTTACTACAGAGGTAACCAGATTTTTATTTTTTTTAAATTTAAATAAGTGAAATAATATTCTGGCTACCTCTGTAGTAAAATGCTATAAAATCAATTCAAAAGAGGTGGATTTATTAAAAACCGGTTAGTTTGTTTTTCTCAAGAAAAAACTGGATGCGGGCAGAACATTCTTTTCTAGTCTTTAAGTTATAACCTAAGTTTGGCTCTCATCGTTATTTAGAATTTTTTTAAAATGGTTACTTTTAATCTTAGCAAGCTTTTGGCTGATGATTTTCCTCCAAGGTATATTTTCACGAGTAAAAATGTATCTGAATATGTGTTATATTTTTGCAGTCCAAGTTTTTATCACTTTATGCTGATTGCACTAAGAATTTCAACATTTTCAAAAGTCTGGCTTTTAATTTAATAAAAAAATTTAATGGAAAAAGGAAAAAGTTCTTTCTTACTAAATATAAACATTTTTTGGATCAAAATCAACAATGCAAATATCTCTTGTGAGTATAATATATTCAATAAATATATATTTATATATATATATATATATATATATATATATATATATATATATATATATATATATATATATATATATATATATATATATATATATATATATTATACTTTTGCGTGTAGATTAGAAAAAGATTCTGAAAAAGAGATTAGAACACATGAAGAAGAACTGCTATTAATTAGAAAAGGTGAAAATCTGATTAAACAGGGTAATCAACTTATCAAGCAGGGTGAGCGTAAAATAAAAGAAGGGGAATTACTGCTTCGTACTCATGGATCCAATGTAAACAGGTATGCATAGATAAATGTATCTCCCTCTCTTTATTTTGCGCACACACACATACAAATTGTTTGACTATGTTTCACAAAACCTTTAAAATGTATATATGTTTCAATGTATTTTTTTATTATTTATAGTGTACCATGTAGAGTACCTAAATCATCTGCAGTCAATACATCTTGCACACCAAAACCTAGAAAGTCTTTTATTAAGCTTACAAACAGGATGAAGCGTAAATGAACAGATAGTCTTAGAGAACAAGAGGTGGAAGAACTGCAACATACTGTCAAAAGGTTTAAATCTAATTCTTCTACTGATGGTAGGGCAATTTTATATGGTTCAAATTTGTCATTCTAAGCTCTTTGTAACTTGAAACTTACAGATAGAACATGGACTGAATTTAAAAATATAGTGACTCATAATCGTCATCTTGTTCCTCCAGGTTTAACCAAGTTGAAGCAATACAAAAAATTGACATATCCAGAACAGGTTGAATATTCTGAAATCTAAAATGTAGTCTTTTCCATATGATAAAGCATTCAGTTTCTAAAGTGTTTGAATATCTTTTGGATTATGAAAATAACTGCATAATGAGTTTATCACAAGAAGAGCGTGATAATGTACAAATTATTTTCAAAATAGGAGGTGATGGTCAAAGTGATCAATCTGAGTTTCAAAATTCAGCAACTATGAAAAGAGGTGTAGATGATCGCTCTGTGTATAGTATAGTGTTTGTACTGCTGGAGATCCGAAGTGGAGAAAAAATAATATGGAAAAATTTAATTCCAAATAGTCCAGATGCAACCCGTCATCTTCTTTTTTGTTTTGCAAAAAAGACTGCTAGTTTTATTCAGGAAAAAATTGAACATTTGAAAAATGTTCAATTTTTGACAATAGTTGACAAACTCTAGTTTGTCAACTATTTATACCACAATGAATGATGCCAAAACACTAAACGCTGTTGTATCAAATACGCTTAAAAAAAAAAAATTCATCTCAGTCCTGCCATGTATGCCTTGCAAATTCTAAGGAGTTTAACTTGAAAACTATTTGGAAAAAAAATATTATTTTAAACAAGCATATTTTGAAACTTGGAATTTGCAGTCTTATTCTATGGATGAGCTGTATGGAGTGGATTTTCAATACTGCTTGTAAACTCCCAGCTGGGAGATTCCATGTGAAAACATCCAGGGCATGCAACCCTAAGTCTCAGATTTTGCTGATTTTTAAACAACTTAAAGATTTTAGTAAATTATGAACATCCTGAAAATTTTATCGTCTAATTTTCATCGGTTCCTAAGATATAGCTATTTTAATTCTAAGATTTTAGCTATTTTAGTTCTTTCAAATAGCGAGTTTGGCATTTAGCAATATATGAATGTGAAGTTAGATGATTAATGTGAGAAATAACTAGTTCTTTATATTCAAATAAGTTAACTGGTTGAGTAATTAATTGTGATCTATCAGTACTTTGCCATTGGTTGAATTGAATTTCTTCTTCTTCATCAATCTCAATTAATTCCTCATCTAAAAATGCCTTAAAGTTATCATAACCTGGACATTTGGCACATCTATGAACCATGCATTCATAATTGTTTGTATCACATACTAATTTTGACATTAAATCTTTGTATGTAACATTCCATTGGACAGCATTTACAAGCAATATTGAGTTTTAATGGTTAATACAAACACATACACAGTGTGTATCATTTGGTCCCACACTAATACACCATTTTGGACGCAAACTACAAAACTTTGAAAATCCTATTTTATAATTAGGGCATTTACTTTTAAAATCAATATAAAGCTCATGAAGGTTGCACAATAATAATCTTTTTTGTTGTGGAGGACCACTTTTAACTTTAACACAGTCTTTTTTACCAGGCATAATTCTAGAATGTTCATCTTGTTGAAAAAAATCTTGAACCAAAGCTGTAAGAAAGTCAGGTATTTTTTGGCCTATTTTCTTATCAGGTATAGCAAGAATTCCATTTTCACTTTTAAGTTTCCTAGCACGTCTTATAAGATGTTCAGAAACTTCAAAATATTCTGAAGCGTATTTTCTAGACCAAGATTCAGGTGTAAGTGTTAATATTTGAATTTTTTTTTTAAATGGTTCAACTTTAAGTTTTTCTTTCATTATAGTTGTCAAATGATCAAGATCATTTGCTTTTTTTTTATCCATAGGATGACTGGAAAAAGTCGAGGCTACACTTAAGTTACCTATATTTAATCCATAAGCACTTCCTACACCTTCTTCCATTTTTATGTAGGCTTTGACTAATTTTCTTTTTGTTGTTACAACTCGTTGATGCTTTGCGACACCATGAACTTTAATTGGCGAGACTTCAATTGATATTAAAGAGTTGTCTAACTGTTGTTTATTACAAGATTTATCTTTACCAAATAATACATCACCATCAATTTCACTATCCATTTCATTATCAGAAACTTCATCCCGATTTGACAAAAACTGAATACATGAGCGACAAAATTTCCATCCTAGTTTACAGTCTAGATTTTTGGATTTAAGGTTATGAGCCATTTCAAGAGATATGGTTGTTTGACCTAAAATAAAATCATTAATTTTTAAAAATTAATATTATATTAATTTATATAATATATATATATATATATATATATAAGTTAATATATAATAAATAATTATATATATATGCGGTAGTTGTGTAGTGGTTGACCGCTCGCTTCATAAGCGAGAGGTTCTGAGTTCGATCCCCACCACGTCCCTGGTAGTACCGCGCTCAACTTGTTTCTCCGTACAGCGGCCTTATTTGTCAAGGTTCGTGTTTCGGAGTTATAGAGTCAAGAGAGGGTTATAATCGCAAATAAGTAGCCTCCTTGTCTGTAGTGGTCTTCTCGGCCTTGAGGAGGTGAATTATCAAAAAATATAAATATATTACCTTTAACCTTCTTTTTGTGCCTTTTTAAAACATCGCAACACTTCAACAACATTCTTTAGTAGAAACATAGGTCCAAAAACCTGCTCATGATGATAACAAATAGACTTTATCTCTTCGTATGATGTAGTCTCAAGCAAACCAGACCTCCAAATATAAGTATCTTGAAAGTCCTTTTCTAGATTACAAAAATCTTTTAATCCTTGTTTTCGAACAAAACATATTTTGTGAGATTCATCTTTTAAAACTTTTCCGAACCCACAAGATTCCATTTTATCAATATACTATTATTATTTCTAAAAAAGATGCAAGAAAAATCTATGATTCATTCAATGTGTTCATGGGGTCAAGGTTGTTTCGGATTAGAAATTTAAACTTAATTAGTAAGCATTCTAACTTTAATTTTACAACCTTATAAACATTTCAAAATCATAAAACTACTAAAAATATAATAAAAATAAATAAAAATAGAAACAGCAATTCAACAACATCGAAAAGAACATTTCGATATAGCCAAAACTGTTTCAGCTACAGAACTGTCAAATTACCACATCTTTTTGTATAGTTTAATATATCAAAATACCTGTTTTTTAAGCAATAAATTTAAGTAGATTTGACCATACTTTTATTTCTGTTTTAGAAAAGACCTCTCTCCAATTTTTTGTAGTAACTATAGCTTAACTATTCAGGACAACTTCTAAATAAAAAAAATAAAAAAAATCGAGCTACATCGGCATTTTTGTGATTGAACTCGCCCCAGTAAAATTGTGGTAAACGTTCAAATTTTAGGTGTTATGCTTGTTTTTAAATATTTTAAGTTGTTTCATTGAATTCGTTGGCCCAAAATATGTGAAGGTACATTTTTCAGCTTTCAAACACACATATTACAGAAACTAGGACCAAAACCATTTTTAAAAATGGCGGATTTTTGTTGGTTGGAGGCAAACTTAAAATAACTATATCTTAGGAACCGATGGAAATTAGACGATAAAATTTTCAGGATGTTCATAATTTACTAAAATCTTTAAGTTGTTTAAAAATCAGCAAAATCTGAGACTTATGGTTGCATTTTCAAAAAAAATTGGATGTTTTCACATGGAATCTCCCAGCTGTTAAGCAAGGAAGAAATATTCCATCACAAAAGAGTAAAGAATTTATTGAAAACAAAAAAAAATTCCAGCATTTATTCTAGATACAACTGAATATAAGGGTTTCTTTTGTCAAGAAAGGATGTGGAACAACCAATACTGGAAATGTTGCTCGCAAATTTTTTAATAACCCGATTGTGATACGGAGAATTTTAAACTTGGATATCAGAATGATTAAGTTGTTTCGAGATTTACTCATTGATATAAACAGAACAACTACAAGACCGGCTATAAAGGTTTTCAAACAGAAATCTGAACATCTATTTGCACTCATAACTAATGATAAATTTTTAAAAACCATACCTATGTTAAAAACCATACCATATCTGTGTAGAGTGATAGTTCATGGTACTTCTTTTATAAGGTATTTTAAGTATCCGATAGGATCTTTGTCTGAGAGTGCTATTCAAGCCAGAAATAAGGAAAACAAAACTGCTCGAATTGGTCATGCTCGTTTAACCTCTTTTGCAGAAAACACTAGGGATACAGCTAATTATTTGTTTATGACATCTGATATGTACCTCTTTTGCAAAAAAAACAAAATGGATAAAAAAGAGTGAAAACAAAATAGTTTAAGAAAGCAAAGTGAAAGTTCTTCTGATAACTGCTTAAAATAAAGGTAAAATAGTTTTATTATTAATATTGTTAATAGTTTTGATTGATTTTTATTGGTTAGGCAATCTCATAATTTTGGTTAAATAACAATTCAAAGTTGCGTGTTTTTTTTGTTTTTTTTTTTTATGTTTTTAAAAATAAATTTAAGAAATAATTTAATCAATTTTAACAAGTAATTAACTATTTTAGGAAGTAAGACCGTGAAGAACCATACTGATGAGTTGTTCTGCGTTGAATTTTTAAAAAACGGCTATAGCCACAAGTTATTAAAAACATCTATTAGAATAGAACGTTGAGAAACTGTGAACGAATGCAAAGAGCCAAGTATCATATGATAGCAGAGTTGTTTATTATATTCAATGATATTGTTTATTTTGAAATAGTGTTCATATACATAGTTTGTAAAATTCTATAAAATATAGGCGCCTACTTTTTTTTGAATAAAATCATCCGGACTTGTGTAGTTTTCCGGACAAATCTAGAATTAGTCTGGACTAACCGAAAAAAATACAATAAATTGTTTTTTTATGAAAATCGAATATGATTCTTTTAAATATAGAAATATAAATAAAAATTCGATGTCTTGTGAAAAAATAAGTTAAATATTTTAAGTCCTTCTTTATTTATATGCCTATTTCCTCATTTTGTATAAGAGCAACGCATAGTGCGTCGTAATGTTGCTTCCCTTTCTCTTTTCAACAAATACTATAATGGGCACTGCTCTAAAGAGCTAGCGTCTCTTGTGCCATCTACAAAAATTCATTATCGTGTTACTCGTCATTCAATTAAGTCTCATCCTTTTTCTGTTACTGTTCCTAAGTGCTCCAAAAACTCTTATTCGTCTAGTTTTTTTCTTCAAACATCAGTTCTTTGGAATTCGCTTCCTTCATCTTGCTTTACTGATTCATATAACTTGCAATCTTTTAAGTCGTCTGTCAATCGTTATCTTGCTCTACAGTCTTCATCTTTTCTCTTCCAGTAACTTCCAACACTAATTAGTGGTTGCTTCCAGCCTTATTGGAAGCGAAGATGTTAAATATATATATATATATATATATATACATATATATATATATATATATATATATATATATATATATA